TAGAGCCGCAGTCCACGAACTTTTTGAACAGCCCTCGTAAATGTTCCATTTTTTCACCGTTGAAAGCGGTATTACTTAATGATGTTGAAACTCGTGTACATCTACACATATGTACAAAAGCCATTTTGTTTAAGATACAGTGCATTTGTGATAACTGCACTCACAAACTACATATGATGATGTGCCTTTATAAACTCAAAAACTACATATACTTGTAGATGATTGTTTTGTTTCGTTTTGTTTTTTTTGTAGGGTACAAATAAAGCAACCATGCAAATATTTTTCTAAACATTAGTTTAATGTTATTTATACATTGAACACTGAAATTATACTTGAGATTTTTTGTGCATATCTAAATGTAATATATGTTTTAATTACAAAAGTAAGGTTATTTAGTTTAACATGCGCAATTAATAAATAAAAACATGAACTTTTTGAAAATTTAAAATTTGTGTTCATACATTAAGAAATATTTGCAATGTCTTATATACTGTATACATATTTACATACAAACTGCTGTGTTAAGTTAGACGTTAAGCAAGACTAAACCTTAGTCAGCGGTATTTTTTGCTACCTCTGAATTTTTTGGGTTTTTTTTTGTATATATAATGCTAAGTCAAGCATCATTATAAAAACTCCACTTAACGGGTTTTTCATTGTTTAAAGTATGAGTCAATCATTCACTTTTTTTGGTTCAATATGTACGTGTCTTCAAAAATTGATTATAGTTGATTTACATTTGGTACTTGTGTTATATGGTAATTTACTTCTTTCAAACCAATGTCGAGTATTCATGGCAATACAAAGGTTATCTAATTCTGACTTAGAATGTCAAATGGTATAACAATAGCTAGTTTAAATGTACAGGGGATCGGGGACAGTCGGAAAAGAAAAGATGTATTTGGTTATATTCGTGATAAGAAATTTAATATTTATTTTTTGCAGGACACACACTTTACAGACAAAGAATCTAAAATTATTAGAAGTCAATGGGGTTATGAAGCTTACTTTAGCAACTATAGTAGTCAGTCGAGAGGTGTTGCCATTTTAATCAACAACAACTTTGAGTTTAAATTACACTCCGTTGAAAAAGACAACGCGGGAATCTTTTAGTTGTACATTGCGCTATAGCAAGTATAGATATGTCTTTAATATGTGTTTATGGCCCAAATAGAGACGATCCGGATTTTTATAACAGTTTAAATGAGATACTCCGTCGTCTGAATAATAAATGTATAATTGCGGGTGATTTCAACTTAGTACTTAACCCAGATATTGACTGTTTTAATTATGTTAACATAAATAATCCGAAGGCGAGAGACACAGTATTAAGTATTATTTTGGAACACAATTTAATAGACTGTTGGCGTGAACAGAATTTAGAATCTAGACAATATACATGGTTTAAACGTAATCCAGTAAAAAAAGCGCGTTTAGACTCGAGCGACTTATTTTTAGATATTGCGGACACTTGTATTTTGCCGGGTTATCGCTCGGACCATTCAATTGTTATATTAACATTAAAACTGGGTGAATTTAAGGCAGGTAAATCCTATTGGAAATTTAATAATTCGCTATTGAAAGATGTCGAGTATGTTAAACAAATTAAACAATTAGTACAGCGTATTATTCAACAGTATGCATCGGATGATCAAAATCAATCAGTAAACGACTCTGTTACTAATCAAAATATTTCGCTATCTATTGATGATAAGTTATTCTTAGAGACATTGTTAATGCAAATTCGCGGTCACACAATCTCTTATGCCACTTTTAAAAAACGACAGGACAATATCAATGAGAAAACACTTATTAAAGACATTGAAATTTTACAACAGTGCACTAATACAGAAAATGAAAATGCCTTGTTAAATAAGCAACAAGAACTTCAAGATATAAGGAAAAAAAGGTTAGAGGGCTCCTTAATAAGATCGCGAGCAAAATGGGTATTAGAGGGAGAAAAACCGACCAGATACTTTTGTAACCTAGAAAATAGGCATTTCGTTTCAAAAAATATGGCAACCCTTTTTAACAAGACGGGTGAAATTATAAATAATCAAAAAGCTATTTTAACGGAAACCATGAGCCATTATAAGTCCTTATACTCTGCAAAGATTACTAACACAGTTAATTTAGATAACCTGTTTCTTGATATAAATGTAACAAAACTTTCTGAGACGACAAAAAATAGTTTAGAGGGTTTCATTTCTCGAGAAGAGGCTTTAGCAAGTTTAAAACGAATGGCAAATGATACTTCGCCTGGTATAAATGGTTTTACTTCGGCGTTTTTTAAATTTTTTTGGATTGATATAGGAGATTTTGTTTTGCGTTCAATTAATTACTCATATACCACAGGAGAACTCTCGCAATCCGATAAATTAGGTGTTATCACATGTATACCGAAAGGTGACAAAGATAAACGTTTTTTAAAAAATTGGCGTCCGATTTCCCTTCTTAATATTACATATAAAATTGCATCTGTGTGTATTGCCAAAAGAATTAAATCTGTATTAGACAAATTGATAAGTGAAGACCAAAGTGGATTTATCCCGGGGAGATTTTTAGGAGATAATATTCGTTTAATTTATGACTTAATGTTTTATACTGAACAAAATAATATTCCCGGAATGATATTACTAGTCGACTTCGCTGCGGCATTTGATTCCGTGTCTTGGGACTTTATGATTTCGGTTCTGAAATTTTTCAACTTTGGTGACTCTATTGTTTCATGGGTAAAACTATTTTATACAAATATACAATCATCTGTTGTTGTTAATGGCCACCTCTCCGACTGGTTCCCCTTATTTCGAGGCTGTAGACAAGGGGACCCCCTGTCACCGTATATTTTTGTCCTGTGCGCGGAGATTCTTGCTTTACTTATAAAAAAAATAGTAATATCAAAGGTATCAAAATTAAGGGTATAGAGTATTTGATGTCACAATACGCAGATGACACCTCTTTGATATTAGACGGTTCTGAAAAATCCCTCGTTCATACTATGAAAGTTTTAAATTTTTATGCAGATATCTCTGGTTTAAAAATAAATGTTGACAAAACTAGGGCGTTATGGATAGGTGCAATGAGAAATAGCGATTCAGAGTTATGTCCGGAAATCGGTGTTAAATGGGACAAAGGTCCATTTAAATTATTGGGAGTAACTTTATCAACAAATATTATATCTATAAGTGATCTTAACTATCCTTCCAAGATAAATGAAGTTAAGACTCTTTTAAAAGTATGGTCCAGAAGATTACTTTCTCCTATAGGAAAGATCACAGTGATTAAGACGCTTGCTTTGTCTAAATTAACTAACCTGTTTTTAACTTTACCAAACCCTAATTCTGAAGTAATTAAAGACCTACAAAATGTATTTTTCAAATTTATTTGGAATGATGGACCGGATAAGATAAGTAGAATAAAACTCACTCAAGATATATGTAATGGTGGGCTTAGAGCGGTTGACTTAATACATTTCATCAGTGCTTTGAAAATCACTTGGATAAGAAGACTTTTATCTTCAAACACTAAATATGCTTTTCTTGTACAAGAATTGTGTCCAGCTCTTTACCAGTCGACCAAATATGGTAGTGACTATTTGTTACAACATAAAAGTAGAGTAAACAATTTGTTTTGGAAGGATGTTTTGAATTCATTTTATTTATTTCAATGTAAGATTCGTTCAGGTAATTGGGCAGATTTCTTGTCCAATCCGGTATGGTTAAATCCTAATTTCAAAATTGCAAGAAAATCGTTTGAATTTAAACACTACTTAAGAAAAGGTGTTTTGTTTGTCAACGATTTTGTAAATGAAAATGGGTTATTCTATAGTTTTCAAGAATTTCAAAGATTATTTGATGTTAGATCAAACTTTCTTGAATATGAAGGTATAATACGTTCCTTCAGAAAAACTTTGACAGATTTTCATGTAAATCAAAATGATATCAAAGTAAAAAACCCGATATTGCCAATTGCCATCCAAATACTTAACAAAAGTCGCAAAGGATGTCGAGCAATATACGACGTGCTGGTCAATAATAATCGTCAGACAAAATCAGAAATAAAATGGCAAAATGATTTTTCTAATATTTATCTTAACTGGAAAAGTATCTACTCTCTACCCTTTAAAGTGACTAAGGATCCAAAACTGTTATGGCTTCAATATAGAATAACGCATCGTATTTTAGGTACTAATGTATTACTGAAAAAGATAAATGTTAGGGACAACGACAACTGTACATTTTGTAATATCAATCCAGAAACCATAAAACATTTATTTTGGGAATGTGACATAGTCAACATGTTTATAAGGGAAGTGCAGGGCTGGTTAACAAACAAAATTCCAAATTTATCTTTTCATTTTTCAGAACAATCTGTCATTTTTGGCTGTTCCGATCCACAGTTCCAGAGAATAATATATTATTATTATTAAAACATTATATTTACAAATGTAAAATGAAGTCCGTATTGCCATGCTTAGAGGCTTTTAAAAGTCAATTACTATTTTTGGTTAAAACAGAAATAATTAATGCCAAAAAAATGCTTAGGTTTGAAACAATGCAGGATGTATGGAAAGAATACATAAACTTAATCAATGAAAACGAAAGTACCTAACATTATTAGCTGTAAAAAAATTGTGACACTTATTGTTGTTGTAACTTAACTCTTTAATAATTGAACGTTTGTGCAGAGTAAACTTTGCCTTTTTAAAAAAAAATATAATAAGAAAATACATATAGTACTTTGCAAATGTATGAATTTGTGTGTATCATTTCAGAACATTGTTATTACATCAAATTTCATGGTATTGTATTATTGTATTATTTCATGACTTTTATTGTTTGCATTGTACAATAAAGAGAAATAAAAAAAAAAAAAAAGAAAAAATGGTTACACAAGGATACGCGTTTTTCTAACACTATGAATTATATTTCTTATTGACATATGTGTAACAAGTTATCACATATAGTTCATTCTTTAAAACAAAATGACGACAAACCAAATCTGTTTTGTTTTTAATATACGATGTATATCGAAACATAATTTCAAAATGATTCTTAAATAACAATAAAATGACAGTACAGATAACATTTATTACATTTTAGAAATGCGTTTATCTTCGGAAGGTGTGAGCTTTTGAAGCATTTTCTTCTTACGGTCATCGGCTAGGGTTTTACAATGTATGAGCAGGATAAGCGAATTCTTAAAGTTCCGCCCAAAAAGTGTATACAACACAAAATTGCAACTAAAAGTCGTATAATACAGCATAAGTGTAAGTTCCTGAAAGAAGTAGAATTCTATAGACACGGACTGGTTTTCTGATGTGCTTGTATCTATAAGATGATAGAGTCGTATAGCGTGGGACGGTAAGTTAAGAAATATAAAAATCAAAGAAACAACAAAAAGTGTCTTTGCTACCCGGACTTGCGTTAATGATCTTTGCTTTCCTGCCATTCTTACTGGTTTAGCATTTTCAGTCTTATCTTCAATAAGACTATGTTCCGCAGCGTCGCTTCTCCGTTGTCGCTTTTCTTGCATTCGTCGCTGTGCAAGCGTGCCTTTAATGACTGTTCTTAAGACCAACGAATTAATACAAAGTATAACAGAGAAGGGTATTAACATTGTTAAGAATGTATCGATCCAGGTGACTACACTAAGGAACTCGAAGTATTCAATTTTATGTGAGCATCGCTTTGTTGGACCCCATTGTATGAGCCCAGTTGTCCAAAAACTAAAGCTGTACATAAGGCAGGCCGAAATACACAATGTTGTTACTGAAACTTTCTCGCGAAACACGCTACACATATATCCTGTCCGAAGAGGAAGGCAAATGGCAAGGAAGCGTTCGAAGGTAAATCCAACTATGAACCACGCATTTAAGAATGACGTAATGTATGTCATAAATATCAAGACTTGGCACGCAAAGTCGGCGTTCATTATCGTCGTGACATCTCCGTCAATCCATGTGAGAAGGAGGCAAATTAAATATGAGTTGTCTGCGAACGCTAACGATGCAAGAAACACGGAACAAGAAGATTTTCTCATATTTTTAGTGACGAACACAATAAAACATAAGGTGTTTCCAAAAAGCCCAGCTCCAACTATCAACGGCACACATATACTTCTGAGAAGTTTTACTCTTCCAATCCACACCTCTTGGGATGCATCCTGTTGCATAAAATTATATTGCCATGTCTGATTAATCGTTATGTTCGTCATGTTGGCAAATTCCATTTTGATTATAAATAACTTCTTTGCAAACACAAGAAAATGTTTATCCAATTCACCTACTTAAGAAAAGTTATTTACGCTCCTGATACAAATACTGAAGAGTTTTCCTTGATCCACGAGTAATTATTCCAAATCTGATAAAAAGTATGGTGATGTTTCTTGCCCGTTTCTCGGTTATATTAGACACAATGCATTTTCTCCTTTTAAAGATAACAATCGGTGACATTCTACCGTTTCAATTTATTAACCGTCTGTCTAATTTTTAACGTGTTGTATGAAATTGCTGTATATCCCGAAAATTGAAATGTAATTTAGTTCAAATTGACAGGGATTAATTACAGATTTTTAATGCCTGCATGAGGTTTTGTCTTTTGTCTTTTTTTTATTGTACTCGCTTTTTTTAAATGTTCCGAGCCCTCACAATCGTATACTAAATTGACATTTTATGTAATTAATTTCACGAGTTTATATAATTAGATAAAATTATAAAACATTTCATTGTTTTTCTCCAAAATATATCTTTTTGTTCTATCTTTACTTTATTTCTGTTTTGTACATCTGAATCTTTTTTATATTACTTATAACATCTTACTCATGCCTTAAACTACAATTTACTTATATGTTCATATATAGTTATTTAAATTGTACACTAAAATATCAAGTTCCCAAGAATTTCTTAGATAATTTCAAAAACTAAATATTCCAAATTATCAGAGCATTAACTGACACTGATAATTTAATAATATTCCTTTCACATAGAATGATACTTTCTCTCACTCGTCTTCTAACAGACTAAATCGCTCTCTAGCCATAAAGATCGATGACACATGGCGAAATTGTATTTTCTATGAAGCGGGACTTGATTTTTCATTGGCAGCCTGTCAAACGATCGTGCTGTTTTTCCGAATCCGTATATTCTCATTTTAATGCTAAATGCTACATCACAAACATGTTCAATAATTAGTTAAGATAAATCCCCCCGATTTGTCCTTAACTCAGTAGATACATTGTAGATATATACAACACTCTACTATAAATAATATCGGACTACTAGAAAATAACGTTTGTACAAGTTATTAGTTTATTGAAATATTGCGAGTTTATTCATATAGGCTTAGAACATACTTTTGTATGAGATTCGCGGGTAATTGCCATTTTTAACTGGATGATTTAATTTGTCTTTCAAATACAATGTATACTAGATATGCCATTGCTGAGTTCACATGCAAAAGCCAAGTACGATAACATTCAATTTGATTTAACAGAACAAATAGGACTTCCTGGAAATGCAATCCGGCACACTCTCAAATGTAATAAATGTACCTTATGTGACAAATTAACATTCTTTCTCTGTGTAGGATACGATTTAGAAGTCATCCGCCTACTTACACATGACCTATACAAGTTATCAATTAAAATTATCAGCACAGTAATTTTTTTATTGTATACAGGTAACTGTTTAATATATGAGGCGCGACGCGAGAAAACCGGTCTTAATGACATTTTTTTCGAAATTTGGTTTTTCACTTATTATTGTAGAGAATTTCTTTCTGAGTATGACGGTGAAAACTGTTTTAAAATCAAAGGGTTAGTTATTGAGATATACTTATTTAAAGAACGTCATATATTTGATCACTTTGTAAATAAATGACGTCGAAAAATTAAATTGACGTCTAACGTTGTTAATTGGAAAATTTAAAACGGCAATTATATTTGAATCTTAAATTCACTCCATTAGTATGTTTAAGCTGTAAAACAGTTAGTAATGAAGTTATGTAAACTATAGACTTCCCGCTTATTGCGATTTTTAGCGTTGCTTAGCAACGTTATAACAACACCCATAAGCGAGTCATACATGGCGCAAATAATTGTTGTTTTTTTTCAACCATTACCACACTATATACCTTTAATTTGGACAAAATTATTCATCATCTTTACGGGAAATTTTCAGACTATATACTGCTTGAAAAACAAATATTGCAGACCACGGTCAGAAGACACAGGTGTGTTGGTGGGTTTTAGTATGCACGGGTCGCATAGATTGAAATCAGACAATTTTTTAGGTATATACCCTAAGTAGTAAATCAACAACAGTATATAAGTCTACATTTAACGTTTAATACTTATAAAAAAACATAGACAGTTAAATAATAAGTTCTATTTTTCTTTATAACAGAAACAATGGCCGTATTTTAACAACAAACAACAGCAGTTCTTGATATTTAAATCTGCACTGAGCTGTTGTAACAGTGCACTGATAATATTATTAACTGTCTTGACAGACGAACGCACGCACACTTCGTGACACTGCTGACATTCCTACGGGCGTAATAACGCTTGGACGGACACATGAACTGAACCGGAATCCGTGTTCTTTCAAACCTTGAATCTAATATTCCTCGCCTTCAGGTGTTACTTTGCCAATAACCACACCCGGTGTGTTCGACAGGAACCGGAAGTGCAGGAATTTTCTATCTATAGAAAAATGATAAATGTCCGTAATAAAAAATGAAGCAAACTTATTTCCTAATATGCTTTAATAAATAAATTTAAAAAAAACATTATTCAGAGCACATTTACAACTAATAGACAAAGAATGGAAGAGCTTGGACAGCTTTTAGAGCATGACAGTAAACTTGGTCACATGACTGATTTTCATAAACTGTAAATGTAAAATAAGACCATCCGTACATATAAACCTAATTAAACCAGAAACAAATGTTACAGAATTTATCTCGCATTAAAGTGTATTAGCTGGATATATGTTGCGAATTCCGTCTGCATAATATTTTGTTCCGGAATATTTTATGCTGATCACGAACAATATACATGTGGAGACATTCTATGTAACAACAATTTCTATTAATATGTGACTACAGAACCATTTCCTTATGTTTTTTTTTTGCTTTTTTTTAAATTTTATAAAGTATTTTAAAAGATAACTCTTTAAGGACCATTTATACAGTATCTACATTTTCTTCAAAATATAAAGTTAATCAAAGAAGAAAATAAAGCTACTTGTAAACGATTAAAGAAACAATTAACCCTTAAATTTTCATGTTTAAGATATTTTCTGAGTCTGGAGTTCTGAGTTTCAACATTTACATTTAAATGAGATAAACATAGGTTACCTTATACCAATAATTGGTTTGAAAAATCCCTCAAGAACGGGTTTCCATTGCCGCCATGACCGCTTGGGGTAACATACCGGCTGTTTGTTGTAGATGACTTCTCTGTAACATCGGCCAGCTGTTGAAGTGTATCTAAATCATGCCTTTAGATGTGCGAATCCCGCATCAACTTAACACCGCGCATGTCTTTAAAAGAAAATTTAAATTTTTTTTAATATTGAAAAGCATTAATTACATGCTGCGATTTGAAGTGCTTTTTAACAATACTACAGTGTTCATATTTTGTCTTTGGGAAAACAGATAAGAGTGTCAAAATCATTTCAGATTGCCGAGTAACTAGAAGTAAGTAAAATCTTAGTAATGAAGATTTCTTGAATCAGTACCTGGTACTTGCATATGGTACTCGATCTTTTCGTTCTGTCCTGTCTTATCGCCCAACATAAAAAATAACCAACGTAACCAGTGTAATGGTTTTTATTTTGTCCTAAAATATAACGTGTACAGACTTGGTAAAATAATAGTAAAATCCCTTAAATGTTAAAGCGCTGGTATTTATATTCTTCCAAACCAAACATACTGGTGCAGCAGTACTGGTATTTGTACTGATACTATATGAGTTGACAAGTAGTGGTTGTAATATTTTAGTAGTAAATCCCTAGTACTGATGTATATCTGATTTTATAAGATGGTAGTTTAGAGTATATATTAAACCTCTTGTCCCTTATATCATTGTAAATATTTTGCTACAAACTGAAAAAAATACCAGGATAAACGGAAGCTGTACAAACTTTTCCTCCGAGTCGCGTGTGGCAACTCATAATGCACTCATTATATAGATCTTGTTCTAATAAAATTACAACAAAGGATATCCTAAATAAAACATAAATTAAAAGTTTTTAAAACAACGGTTTTTGTAATCACGGTCATAGAAATCATGATATCGTCCAAATAGAAATCAGTGGCTCACAAGCATTCTTTTAAATTCTTTAGTACAAATCTTATTTATTATTATAAAAATATGCTTGGAAAAAATTCAAGCATGGTAGGTATTTGTTTACATTATTTATAAGTGAATTGATACATTAATGTTCATTTCCTATTATTACCTTTTGTGCGAGAAGTACGTGGTCCCGCAGTGCCGTCGTTGCTAGTGTCACATTTTTCCACTTCTGAATAATCATAGGCAGTATCTCTCGAAATATCTGTTTTGTGACTTGATAAGTGTTCTCCAAAAAATAATCCGAGTACCTATGAATGACAAAAAAAAATGAATAAAAAACGGATAGAAAAAAATTGGAATCAGCCAGGATACGAACTCGATTTGTTTGATTGTGAGGCCACAGCATTATCCACTGAGCTATACTCTCAGCAATACTTTAGCGTGCTAATTAATTAATAAAAGGCAATATTAGATCTAAAAAACTTGTTTATTCCATGATGACGTAGCATAGTTTGGGCATATATTATTTTATTGCTTACATGTTCTAAATGAATTATAGAAACATATTGTAAATGAATTATGAAAAAGAGTATTAATTTAACTTGCGACTGATTAGATTATTCTTAAATTAACCTAAATTTAGATCTGCCTATAAAATATGAGATCGATTGGTAAACCCCTACAATAGACTTTGATTTAATTAAGATCAAAACAACGTAAATTTATTCTATATAAAGGCACCGATGTATGTTGCCGATTAATTTATTCTTCTGTATTTCAAAGCATACTTAATGTACAGTACTGTAGTGTAGATTTTATACAGTACTTTAAACGTCAGTGTCAAATTACCAACAGTAAATATTTATCAATTCGATGCTAGATGATAAATAAACATGCATGATATATTTTTGTTGTTGTTTTTCATAAATTATACATTATAGACACTTACTTCTAACTCCTCCTCCATCATATAAACTTTCCTCTGAATTCTAACGATAATACACTTAAAAAACAATAACACACGATAAAAAGCATTTCCGTGTTTACATGTGTATACGCAATAAGAGTGACGTCATTTAAATCGCTGTAGTGCACATTTATTGTAGTGTCATTAAGACCGGTTTTCTCGCGTCGTGCGTCATATGTATTCATTAATACAATTTCAACTTTCTCATTTGTAGTCCTGTTTTTTTTACCACGGGTATCCAAATCTTGCTATTTTTCGACCAACTTTTACATATTTATGACATTAAATACCTTAAATCGCAATACATTAGGGTATATTTTCTAAACTCTAAACGTTACATTTTCAACGTGACTGCCGGTGTAAGCTAAATTGATAAAACATTTTCTGAGCCGTGTTGACATCATACGCCGCTAAGACTGTTAATGTGCTCATATGAGCACCGTAAGAAAAAAAAGAAGCACTGCAGACATGTATGTCTGTCATAAGGCAAATGTCAACGTCATAATATTTGGCAGATTTTCTAACGCCCTGTTTTGAAGATAATGCGTTATGTTTTATGATGACTATATTTTGGTGTGAGCCGCCACGCACATCTCTTGTCGTATAAATGGTTTTATATTGAATATATGTATATACATTTACTTTCTTGGAGTAATATCTATAATTTAACTTCATATTTTCTGAAGTACATTATCCCGAATTTTAGCCAAGGACGTTTTACATTATTGTTAACGTCAGCCCTGATAATTTTCGACTTATTGATAATTATAAATGGCAATATTTTATTTTAAATACCACATGATACATCATAAGCTTATTATTAATACCATAATATCGTTTTCTCGCCCCATGATATCTTGTTAACCCTACGCCGCTTTTCATGGAATGCCACTTTATACATGTCACATGGTAACCGCCGTGTAAACATATTTACGAATTGTTTTACATTCAAAATTTTATCGCTTTCGTGTTCTGCTTTAGACGGTGTTAAGGGGTGTGGACGATAACTTGCACTTTCCAGTACGGTCCATGAATAGGCTCAATCAGGCTCAATCAAACCTAACCTTAACATTTTCGATTTTGTCAGTCTTGACATTCTTTAAGGATTCCGTCTTTTTCTGTTTTACTGTTTCCGTTTGATCCTAATTAGAAGAACGCTTCATCTACCATGCAACTTCAAAATCAATTAATTGTGGGCAGTTACTCCTGTCATGTTTACCACATCATAAATCATTTAGCGTTCAATATCTCAAAAGATACATTTGCCAAAATAAACAAAGTATTCGTCTTTTTGTCAGAAATAATTGTCTGAGCTTATTATCTTAACAGTCATGCAAACATTACAAGTCTTTTCTCAGATTTAGACTTAATTATGTACTTTATTATCAGACCTATCAACAGCACTTTTTTCTGGTGTCTTGATTTAATTTTTGAAAGATTACTCATGACTAACCGCTGAACTTTTGTTTCTTTTGCATTTTGAATTTAATACAGTGATAGTGATTTGTTACATGTATATTGTATGAAAGTCGAAAGACTACTAAGTTAACATATGACAACTTTGTTTAGGTGAAATCGGCACGCGTAACCTATGTCATTAGTTCTAACATATTTTATTGCAGCATAGACATATATAATATTACACAAGTGATAAGTACGTTATTGGTTTAGTAACAAGTTCTAGCAACACAAGATTAAGCCTTTCCAGGTATTTATTAATTCTATCATAAAAATAATAATTCGTGTTTTCACGTTTTGGAAGAAATAACGTCTGGTTAATGTGCCCTTGAACATTAAACAATTTTTATTCAAATAACTTAATAATGACCGTATTTGTGATCTGCATATAAAGTGTTCCTAAAATTCCTTTTAATAAAGAAAATAAACGAAAATAAATGAAATTTCTAACATTAAAGATAGAAGGTGAATTTATCATTCATATGTTTCTTTTATCCAGATTTCTGTCTCAATTTTGTGAAAATTTACAACAAAAAGAATATCACTGTAACAAACAATTACATATTTCTAATGCATCTATAAAATACATGCTATCGAACATCAAACGCTTGCATTTCTATCAGAACTTGAACAAAAACTGTTTCAAACCGAGTGTGTTACATTAATATTAATACTATTGCTTCAACTTTGTCTGGTGACTTTGACTTGTTTGTAAAACACATAGACACATGACTTGTATGTAAAACACATAGACACATGACTTGTATGTAAAACACATAGACACATGACTTGTATGTTAAACACATAGACACATAATGAAGGCTAAACGTAAGGTGGTCAACTAGACAGATTATATTTACAAAGTACAAGTTAAACTTAAATCAGAAATCGATATATCTTATTACCATGTGAAGAAGATAGAGACAAAACAGAAAATCATCCTAAAGAATCACTTAAACGACAAATCAAATGTTGCAGGCTTGGTTTTATTGAGCCTGTCTGTTCAAGGACGGTAGTGGTAATTCCAGTATATCATCAACGCTCCGCAGCACCGACTTAAGCAGAACCAAACATTAAACATTGTCCATTACCTCACACTATCGAAAAATTTGACAAAAGTTTGTATGGCTGAAAGTGTGTGAAACTTAAGTAATCATAGGTAGGTTTTACTGTATTGTGTAATTAGGATCTGATTATGTAAGACTATTCAGTTATTAAATATGCGTCATACTTTGTAAAAGATAACACAATTTTCATACTTTAAAACCTTAACTACTAAGTTATTAGAAGATGAACAATGGGCGAAAAGTTAGATGTAACATTTTCAAAGTTATTGAGTGTTAAATTATCTTAAAACTTATAGTGTTATTAACCTACTTAATGCTAAACGCATATGTTGAAGATAAATTTCATTCAATACTTTTTTAAGGCAATCGCGAGAGAAAAGATTTAAAAATTCATTAATTGTATATTAATTGTATTGTATGAAAGATAATTTAAAATATTTTTATTTAGATAAACAAAAGTGAGATATAAGTTTTTTGAAGGCACATTATGCCTAACAAAATCTATCATTTTGAATTGTTTAGAAAGTTCCAGATAACGGTCAAAATGACCTGTGTATTATGTATCACTATGGTTCACATACGAATAACCTTTGGCGCTGGTTCGATTTTCCATGTTATAACAAATATGCCTTTATTTGCTCATACAAATTTTAATGAGTACATTCGCTCAATAAAAATCATCTGTAAATGTCGCGAATGTGTAAACCTTTGTCCAATTTTAATATTAAACTATTGTAAAAACATTCTGACGGACAAACAAGTATATAACTTATACATGTATAACACGACGCGAAGTGAAAACGTCTAATTATAATTGATGTTTTCAAGAAGTTAGATATATGTAAATATGTTTACCAGAAAACGGTTAATCGATGTGCAGCTTTAAATAAATACACCTACAACAAAATAATTAGGTCATGAGACCATGATCTGTTTCAATGTGACCATACCACGTGACATTGCAGGTACGGTACACGCATTTTTTTCATCGATTCAGGTATATTTTTTGCCAATTACTCTGCTGTTTCTCAACCGATTTTGACCAGATAAGGCGAAGAGTACCTGTAATTATATCAACTACCGACGGTTAAACAAAATTTTGAAAACCCCTGAAAAAATTAAAATATTGTTTAATTATTATGTGGACCACACAAAGACCTATATCTAAAACTCCTGACACGGGCAGCGTTTTTGTGGCAACTAAGAAATGCATGCATCGCTGCAACATCGCGATGGCATCGAAATGATTGCCCAAAGACGGCACTTATTTCAAGCATGGTCATATTTTAAGTCCTCATCAGGCGTTACGATAATAGTGCATACATTGTGATTTTGCGAAGGACGCCGAAGTTACACATTACGATATCTTACAACAATCGGCGAAAATCGCACAAGGGACGCAGTGCGAATGCTGATGTTATCCTCGACAGATTTATATAACGTTATCAGTTGTTAGTCAATGAGCATTGAGATAGTCAATCTTTTTACATAAAAAGCCAGTTCAGCTCAACTCGACAACGAAAGAAATGAGCATAACATCACTTAAACAAACAATTATGTCTATCTCGTTCCATCGCTTATGCACCGATAAAGGACGTGTAACAGAACATCATATGTTTGCATTTTTATCAGAAATTAAACAAAAACTGTTTCAGACCGAGTATGTAACATTAATATTTTTATATTTTCGATCCTTAAAGATCGTTCAGCACGACATAATTGTTGTGCTTGTGCTATTTTAGTTCTTCCATTCGGCATCTTTCTTGTTGGGTGGCCCCAGTATTCCTAACTTGAATAATGTTGAATAACCCTAAGGATATGTGGCCTGCTTTTTAAATTTGTCTTTTGACGTCATATCTGTGATATGCAGGCTTCATAACCTCAGATCCCCTTTCAAAATTTCATTTTATTTAGTTTCTCCCATTGTTTTCTCGTTTAGGGCACATGCATTTTTTTAATTGGGGACCATATGCCGCTTTTCATGGAATGGCACTAACGTGTCACATTGAATGTTCCATGATAACCGCCATATGAACACATCTGCGGATGTTTCAAAATTCTAAATTTTACCAGTTCATGTTAAATGTTGAATTCTGCTAAAGCCGGTGCTAGAGGGCGTGGACGGTAGTTTGCACTTGACAGTACCGTCCATGAACAGGCTTAATCAAACCGAGTCTGCAACATTTTCAGTTTTGCCGTGTTGGGCTTTCTTTAGGGATTCTTATTTATTGGCGTCCGCGCCGAAGTGCGGTGCCCTTATGGAATGAAATCAGATTTTGTGAAAGGGCGACAGCAACTTCTCGAGCCTTTTAGTCGGCCATAATAAAAGCCGATCATTCCGATCGGTATGAGGGTGCTTGATTATTAATTAAGAATGAAATGTCGCGATATGTTACAATGAATAGCGAACTGGAGAATTTCGCAATGCAAATATTTTCAAATGAAATAACCTTTCCGTCAATAAATCGCGCTCTTCGGGTTTTTATTTTATTTATCATTTTGTAGTACACAGTGGGTGATCCCTACAATGATCAGTTGATGACCTAAATATTCCAAAAATCTATTTATAGATATATCTATTTATCACTCCTATCGGTAATTACCGGTCTCTCCCGGTCTATTTTGACCGGGATTTACTAGTGACCAGCGAATAG